TAAGTTTTTAGCATCACATTGTATGTGTATGCATGGTGTAAAGTATGTGTAACATCATGTATAGGTACTATTGTCTTAATCTGGGTGGGTGTGCCAAGTAAGGGATAAAGAATGCTAAAACGTCTCCCCCCCTCTCTCTCTTATAGTCATGCACACGCCAGACAATATGCTCTGTGTTGTGATTACTATCTCTTACTGTATCATTATTTTCCAATTTCTAAATGATTTTGTCCAAATCCATTGAGGAAAATATACAAATTTCTGACTATTGAAATGAAAAGAGCACTGCTGCAGGATTGTGACATAAAACGCTGCCCAAGAAATCCGTTGCAGTATTCCAATGTACACTTTGTCAACTTAAAAAAATCAAGAGCGAAAACATATAAAAAGAAGTACACTCACAGTTGAGGAATTCTCTAACAAGGGAAGTAGCTATAAACACCTGTGACATATATTTTGAGGTGGGATGATAGAAAACAAAAAAAAGTAACAAAAAAAATCCTCCAGTATTCAGCTGACTAAACTTTGTAAGGGGGATTATTTTGCTATTAATAACTAACGATAAAGATTGTCTAGACCAAATTTAATTGTAGTAATGTCACAAAGCTTATGTTAAGTCTTTTTGCAGACATAAGGCATTTTCATTGTGATCTGTTTCATTTTTAAAATGCATTTAGATTTCATAATGAAATTTTTTATTACCGGCATGACTGGATTATGTGCCCTTACAGCCTTTACTTTGGGTAAGGTTTCTGGCCTTTGTGATCTCTCCACTTCCTGCCAGGCACCAGGTGTTGATTTTGATTTTATTTACCCACAAGGCATGCAAATTTGTTTATTAATGCTCTATTCTAATTTGACCTTGTAGATGTGAAGTTAATTGGGATGTTCATTAAAAGTAATGTTTTTGAAATAAAAACAGTTTTAAATTTAATCTTTTGTTTGAAATGCATGGAATTGTAATACAAAATTACAGTTAAATATACTAAATGAACATGGTAATGACCCAAATGTAATGAACTTTTAGAAGTGTGTAATATCTGACAAAGTTGTTGTGTCCTGGAAAAATAAAATGGTGGTTACCTTGATCTCAATGTGATGTCTGCAGTATTTATCCTAGGCTTTGGATTATTAAAATATGTCAGCATCTACAGTTAATAGGACTGTCTCATAGTTTTAAATTAGTTTTATATTTACATTATATTTAGTTTTATATATAAATCTTGTGGATAAAATTTATGGTAATTAAGACTTACTCTTGCTCACTGAATCATGTTTGGTATTTGTAACAATAACAAGTTTTAATAAATGTGAATTTCAAATATTTCCAATGTCTAGAAATGAAGAGCACCTACACATCCCATACTGGTTTGATATCAAGTGTTGACTGGTCTAAGGTCAATGAACATCTTTTTATTTCTGGTTCCCATGATATGCTGATGAAACTTTGGGATACAAGAAGGTATTTATAATAGTTTTAATACATAATAAGTTAGCAAAAGTTTTATATAAAAATGTATATTTTTAGTCAGTTTTTTTACATGTCAATAATTTTTCCATTTTTTTCAACAAAGCCCAAAGGCTCCATTATATAATCTCATTGGCCAAGATGACAAAATTCTAGCTGTTGATTGGTCCATTCCTGAATTGATGTTATCTGGAGGAGCAGACAACCAACTAAAAATATTTAATTATGAGCTGAGAAAAAAAATGAAATAAATCTATATTTAAAAATGTATGTCTTTCAATTTTTTTTTTAGTTCCATATGTAATAAAGTGTCAAAAGAAAACTAGGAACATTTGTAAATATATATCACCTTTTTAGAAGTCAATACACAACTATTGTTAAGAAGATGTGCAGATTGTGTATAATCATTATATACAAAGCTTGGGGTTAGGGCGTGGAGACGAAAGGCCCAGGACAGATCTGAATGGAAGGATGTGCTGAAGCAGGCCAGAGTCCTCCATGGGCTGTAGCGCCACCGGGATGGATGGATGGATTCATGAATGCTCTTTACACATCAGCAATATCTCATTAGGATTGGCAGCTTGACCTTCAAAAATGTAGAACAAATCAGTGACTATCACTGTGATTGGTACATTTAGATGTTTCATTTTGTTTTTCATTGTTCTAGAGCTTCACAAAAACCTAATTTCAATAAATCAAGCAAAATCCTATACTGCAAAGCAGTATATGGCACAGCTTTGCTAGGAACCCTCATTAAGATTCCGAGATTTCTTTGCCCATTAAATCACTGCATTGGTCTGTGATATGAAATATAAATAAACACCAACCACAGGAGGTGCTGCCTCTTAAAAGGAATATTAGTGGTTCAGTTGCTTTTTTAGCGGTCCTCGAAAGGGGAATAGACACTGTTATGTGTGGTCTGTCCATCTGTCCCGTTTTGATCTCGTAAACTAAAAAAGATATTGAAAATCCGACATCATATTTTAGACCATTCAAGTTCTGATGCAACAGCTACTTTTTCTTTTCTGAATTTAATTTTTAAAATCAACTATGCTAGCAGTTTTTTCAGAAAAATACACCATTTTTACAACTATTCACTATTATATATTACTGGAGGCTATTTAATTAAGGGAGATGGTAATTCATCATATTCTTAACACATTTATGCAAATGGTCTTAGATTTTTTGTCAAAATATTATTTTTTTTTTACAATTGTATTGCTAAGTTAAGTATGTTCTGTCATAATAACTACTACATTTACACACAAAAAAAACTGCTTTTATTTTTAAAGAGAAAAAATGTAATTAGTGTGCATATAAATGGAACATAATTTAAAACAGCAATTAATAAATTTTTCATATCGCATGAACTGCAATACGAGGCATAATACAACGGAATAAAAAAGGAGAGAATTTTTTTTTTTTGAGGCTTTGAATAAGAGATTGACCCTTTACAAAACAATTAGATGCTCATTATAATTTTTTATGATATCAGTTAGGCCAGGTTCACATCGAACTTTAACTTTCACCTATCCGGTAGTCTGCTGGACCATTGGGGCATCACACAAGATCTGTTAAACTTCTTTCTCCATTTTTCTCTTTCATTTGCCTTTGACAGAATTTTTTTTATGACATTCTCTCTGAAAATATTGAAACCTGCCTGGGTGAACCACTTTGGATGCCGATTTTGAGTTTGTGTTCTTTGTAACCTTGATTTTTATTGAGTTTATCAATTTTTACTAAGTTCCAATTTTTTTGTCAATGGTATTTTAAAAACATGATCATTTTATCAATTACTAAATAGAAATAATACTTAGAAAGATTTCACTGTTTTCAAATTGCTGGGGGAAAAAAAACAACAGAAAATATAGATTCGCAAATTTATTATTAATTACTGAGAGGTTCTGAGTTTTTGCCAACACCAAGTTAGGCTCAATTCCATTGCTAGGATCCTCCTCTCTAGCTCTGCAGTCAGCAAGCATATAAAAAGGTGGCCATGACCAGGGACCTCATCAGTCTGATTTTGGTGCCGAAGGCTAAGCCCTTGTCTTTCCATATTATCTTAAGTTTTGAAAGGGCTGCTGTGGACTGTGCTATTCGGGCCAATAGTTTGGGTTTCATTCCCTCATCTAATACAAAAGCTCCGAGGTATTTGAGTCTGCTAACACTAGTCAGCTTTTCACAATACTGATGCCCCTTTTAAAGCCCTGTTGGCTATTGGTCATAATTTGGTGTTTTTATTTGCATGCCATATGCTGCGGAAGTCTTGTCAATGCGCATCACCAGGTCAGCTAGTTCTTTTTCTGTCTCTGCTAGGCCATCAATGTCATCTGCGAAGCGCTAGTTAGTACTTCTTCCTCCAATGCTAACAGTACCTTCATAGCCCTCGAGAGCATCTTCCATTATACTTTCAAGGAAGATATTGAAGAGTGTTGGTGAAAGTAGGCAGCCTTGTCTTACTCCAACTGTGGATGCTAGAGAAGGATCCTAGGTATCACATTCAAAGACCGCATCACAAACCAAGAGATTTGAGACAGGGTTACTGCAGCGATAACACCCTATGATGACCTGCTAACTATTGTAAAAAAAAAACAGAAGCTTAAAATCTATGGCCATATTACAAGATCTGCAGGGCTCGCAAAGACCTTCCTTCAGGAAACCGTACCAGGAAAAAGAAGAAGAGGCAGACAGAAAGCGATGGGAGGACAACATAAAAGAATGGACAGGCCTACCATTGAAAGAGGTTTTAAACAAGGCAAATGACAGGGAGGAATGGAGAAAGACTGTCAACAAGTCTTGCTTAGTACCTACCAACGGTCCAACAGACTAAGGGATAGGAAAAGGTAAAGTTAGGCTAGTATGCTTTCAGTTAAACAAAAATAATGTAGACAACTCATCACTAGCTTTTCACAAACTTAAGTGCTAAAACATATTCTCCAGATCATTAATTAATTTTAAGAACTTAAACAAAAATTCAAATAACAGGTTGATATGTTCTTTAATTACCAAATAGAAACATGGAAGTCAGTGATGAGGTGATATTTGAAAGTAAACCTGAAGTACAAAAATAATTTTAAAAAGGGGGGAGGGGGTAGTAGTTAACTATTAACAATTTATTCAATATAGTATGTAAAAAGAATTCTGCTCAATTCAAAGTAAAAAAAGTAAGTTCCCCTTTCAGACCTTGTGGTCTATAGGGCAGATGATGTAAAGGTCAATGATTTTAAACATTTAGCTCTAGGTTAGGATTGGCATTCATTTTTTTTTTTACCCTTAATAATAAAAAGAAAAAGCCTTTTAAAAGTGTCATTTTTTTTAATACATAAACTATTCAATCAACAAACCTACAACAAGTCTATCTAATTAACAGCAACTTAATTTTTGTACAATAATCTTTGTTGTAGTGTTAATATATATATAATATATATACACACTATTACAGAAAAACAACATACAAATATTTAATATATTACATCATCTTTTTTTCATTTCATTATAGGTAAGTATGCTGGAGCCATGTTCATATATATGTATATACATATATATATATATGTATATATATATATTTGATATATATTTGGACAAAACTGTTTGAAAATGATTCTTTTTTAGTCCACAATTAGATCTAGTTTAAAAAAATGTAGACACTACACTTTCATGAATACAGCTGTGGTATAAGAATTATTTAGTTCACATTGTGGAGAGGTTTAATTAATATTAATTTTTAAAAAGCCATCTTTTACATATAGTATTATTGGTAACTGTAGTTGTGCAGATAGACTTGTAACTATTTAGATTTTCATAGTTGTTCAAAGATAAATATGCATTTTGAGACCAAAAAAAAAGTATACCAGTAAGAATAGTCAAACAAATATCTTTGTCTAGGAAGATATTTACATGTTTTGGTAGACAATATTAACAAACTACATTACAATACCATCATGGTTAAGTAAGGATGAAAGATGGCACAAATTTCAGCCACAGCTGCAGGCGGATTAAAGTTTGAACTTGAAACTTTATATATATTTCAATTGGAAATAATTTATTCGTCCTATAAATTTAAAAGAAGTGCTAGGATAAAATACTGAAGGATTGTATTACTTAGACTTTACAGCTATATGTATATACGTATTATATAAAATAGAATCTACAGCTTTATCTATTAAACAATTCAATTTTGTTCTGGTTTTTGTCCTTTTTAATAAATCAATTTACTTTTATAATAATGTTTAAAAATTGTAAATTAGCACATTTATACTTGTATAAATGAAAATTGATTGGGTAACATTTATACAGAGCTCCTTGTATCATGAACTGATTCTTACATTGAGGCCTATCTGACAAGTAGATATTTGTAAGGGTATTGAATGTATTAATTACATGAACTTAAGTCTTACCTGGACTTCTTCACAGTGAAACAGTTGTTAATCAGGGGTCTCAATGAACCATTACAATATATAAAATAAGGAAAAAGAAAAATGAAACTCCTTCAGTGTTTCTAACACATTTTTAACAACAAATCAAACAATATAAAATAAATGTATACAAAAATACATTTTAAATCATTTTGCACATGGTTTAATAATCATTTTTCAGCAAACAGGTTAAACATACTTTAAAGATATAGAATAAGAAGAAAGAATATATAAAATATTGTAGAGTTATACAAAACATTTTTAGTATAACTTAACCCAAAAAAAGATCTACAGAATTACATTTTGAAGAAATTTTGTGTGTGTGTATGCGAGAAATTTAAAATATATGTACATTATGTTTTCTCCTGAACATGATATATGTACATTGAGTTCAAAAGATGACAAATTTACATAATAAAATTACAATTTGTAAACAACACATTACATTACGACCTGACAGTGACAACTTAAAACAGTTTTTCAACAAATCAAGAGAAAAAATATCCGGCAGCCTGTCTTGAGCCACAACTTTTTTTTTGTTTAGATATTAGTGCATACAGCCATCTTGTGAATTCATACCCGTAGGAGGGATAGATTTAGACCTGGAAAAAGTTTTTGCCAAATAAAAACGGCAGTTCTGTACCAAGTTAGCTAAAGTAGATAGTCAGTGCTTTTTCAATGGCACATTGCTAGCTTTCTGTCGATTTACTGGCACTACTTGTCCAGAGCTGCTCATTTCCCAAGGGATTTCAAATTCACTGTGGATTAAAAAAAAAAAAGCAATTAAACTTGCCTATTTTCTACCTTCACATACTTAGTAAAAGTAGATTCAGGTCAACAAATGTTATGAAATGTGTATGTGTACTTCTACTGACTGATGGAGTACATGTACTTTTAACCAAGATAGTTTAAGAAGGGTGAACTGCATGCACAGTGTATAAAAGAGGGGGACAGCTGATGAAAGAGGAACCTGAGACATGTGAAGGCTAGATGATGAGATCTAGAAAATTTAAGTGAATTGAGATAGCTGTTGATAATCCTTCAACATCTATGAGATATAATATGTATTTTGTATTATACAACATTAATATACCAGTAGATACCGGAAACAAAATTGATATTTAAATTTTTTTTCCTCAAGAGCATGAGTGTGTGTAGAATCTAGAAACTAAATCTATGTAATACTAAATCTAGAATTAAAATCTACCACATAGTGTACAAAACAAAAGGGGGGTGAGGGCTGAGAGACAAAGATAGGGGGAGAGAGCAAATCTAGATCAACTAGCTCTAGATTTTAAAATTCTTAGAATTGTCACAGTGAAAGTGTTAGGGTCTATTAAAAGAATGTGTGTTTGGGGAGGATACTTTTGTTTCATAAAGTTCGAGTTCCAGAGAAGAAGTTAGAGAGAAAGAGAGGGTTGTTCCAATTCATATTCTACAACTCATGGGCTAAAAAAAGTTAATGGAATTCTTAAAATGCGGGCCACTTTATTGGAAGTGCAAAGAAGTGTGGGTTTCAGGTAAAAAAAATAATATATAGTCAATGGGCATAGCTGGTGTGTAATAACTGTTGTATAATAATTTCATAAATGCTGGAATTAAACTGTGATGAACTTTTAAATGCAATAACAGTATGAATATGACAAAAATATCTGTTTTTATATAGACAAACTATATACAGTATAAACAGCTAAATTATTTTACTTACGCTGGTGAAACATAGGGCACTGGTTGACCAAAAGCCATGACAGGTAAATATTGAGTTATTTCAATATGTTTCACTGGTGAAATATAAAATATAGAAAACTAGAACTATAAATATTTACGTAGAAGCTAATTTGTAATATTAAATTGAAAAAAAAATAAAATAAATTATTTTATATCTTTAAACAAAAGGATTTAACACAAAAAAGGCATACAGTCATGAACTGAAGGTAAAAATGTCTCCACATCTGCTTCATCTTGGCTTGCTCTTATTTCATCTTCTCTTTGTCTTTGTAATTTTTCTAAAACACGAAGTTCCCTTAGTCTCTGAAGGTCCCATCTATTCATTTGAAAAAAAAAATCACTTATCTAACTTTTCAAAATAAAAAAAAAATTTAAAAAGTAAAGTATAAGAATTATTTTGAATTAATCAATTAATGTTTAGTAGATCTACAAAAACAAAAATAAATTTGAGTGATTGGAAATCTTTATATTAATGGGTTTCGGTTAAAGACAACTTTCATGCTTATAGAATGCTCAGTGTGCTGCAGTCCAATGATTTTTGTGGACCAGATCGGGATGGGGGGATATCTGGGAAATTTCCATGCTGACTTTCCAAAAGCTATTTTTAAACAAAGTTGCTACAATTCATAATAGAAGGCTGATGGGTCAGTCGCTGAGCTGTTGAAGAAAGATTTAAAGCCTAAAAAAAAAAGTTTCTTGTTTAAAATGTTTATGAAGACCAAATTCTCTCCCCTTTGTTTAGAGCATTTCTATTTAATTTTTTAAAATTGATTCATCTGTCATCAAGTTTCAACTTGATCTGAGTATGGGAAGTGGGAGAAATAATGTGTAAAAGATTCCACCCAGACGGAAAGAGTTAATATAAGCTTTGTAAAAAAGAAACTCAAGTTTATCTAAGTAATAACCTTTTTCTTCTCTTTTCTTCCATTTCAAATTTTTGATGACGTTTGTTGTAAGCTTCATCTGTAATATTCTGAGGAGAACATTTTCCATCATTCAAACACATTACTTTAGAATGCTAGCAGTCCACAACATAATCATTATAAATATTTTATTTTCTTATTAAGTTACCTCTGTTCCTTCCAACTGATACATGTTAGTCACAGGTTTAAGGCGCCATGTTGGTGTCTCAACTGGAAAATATTATTATATTACTTTTAAATTTTTTAAATAGATACACCTATTTTTTTATATTTTTTTTTTACAAAGTTTTAACTGTTAATCATTTGACTAACACTTAAACCCAATAATTATTTTATAATTTGTTAATAATGTTGTTTCAATGTTAAATAGATATGCTGATATTGTATAACAGAATGTTTACCTTCAGTTTGTTCTATCAGTTTCTTAACATCAGGACTTGGAAATACATGGCGTGGGTAATAAAGATGATACAGTGTCTCTGTCTGCATTATGGGATAGTCTATTGTTTTTACTTCCTTTAATTCCTCTACTTCATCATTTGGCTTAGCACCATTTTCTTCTTTTCTACTTCCTGAGATGACTGATTCATTTGCACTGTTATTTCCCAGTTCCCCTTCCGAATCAGAATTAGAAGACTTTTCTCTTTCATCGTCTACTTCTTCACTTTCTTCATTTTCATTATTTAAAGACATATCCTTGAAACTAGAATGAGATTGTAGGAGTCTTTGTCTCTTATGAGTTTTCTTGTGGCTAAAATATATTTTGTGCCTTCGTCTTTTTCTGTATTCTAATTTCAACATTTCATTTTGGCTGATTTGAAGAAACAAAAAAAATTTTATGAAAAAATGAATTATATAAAATGTCACCTTTTGACAATGAAATAAAGCCATAAGTATGTGTACAATGGGCCATAGTTGAGAGTCCACGCAGCTCGAAATGGTACCTGACACTAGTTGGGGAAAAGTAAAGGCGGTTGGTTGTTATGCTGGCCACATGACACCCTCTTTAACCGTGCGCCACAGAAACAGATGACCTTTACATCAATTGCCCTATAGATTACAAGGTCTGAAAGAGGAACTTAACTTTACCAGTACTGATTACTAAATCCTTCATATCTGCTTACTGATTGTCAATAGAAACATAATTTGAAATGGGCCTACATTATAAGATTCAAGAATAAGTAAAGCTTGACTATTGATGAGATTAGCTAAAATATATAAATTCCTAGTGCAATTACAAGTGGAAAATTTTACCTTTTATGTGGAGAAGATTGTAAATTTGTTGTTGTTCTGAATGGTAGTGTTTCAGATTTTGTCCCAATAACATCATGTGATTCTTCCTTGTGTTTCAGGATTGACATACGCCGCTCCATGCGTTCCAATCGGCATTGTAACTGTAATTTTTAAATAAACGTTATTATAAATGTGCATTATTTTCAAGTCTTATTTTATTTATACATATGTGTGTTTTAAAGTACACATCTAGATATATATTATACATTAGCAACTAAATGTTGTAGTATTTTGGTTTCAATTTTAATAATATTTTGGACAATGTGCACATCATGAAATGTTTACCATCAAATAAATAACATAGATCTCTAAATCTTGAAAAGATGAGAGCCATAAACTTAAATAAACTAGACATTACTTTGTCTGCTATATTCTCATCCTTTTATTACTAATACACATCCATTGATTGATAAATCTGAATACTGTGCTGATGGGTAAAAGGCTGTACTTTATGTATATATTTCTCAAGGTAAATAAAGCTTTATATTCACAATTAGGGATGCTCAGAGTTGCATAGAAAAAGTCATATCTCAATGGATTATTAAAAAA